CGGGAAAATATAGGGAGAGAAAAAAAACTATCATATAAACAAAAGATGCATCAGTTGCCTCACCTGTAAAATGGGAGCACTGGAATAGATGACATCCCAAATCCCTTCCAACTCCAATATTCTGTGATTTGATGTGGACTGAGTTTATCAGTTTTGCTAAAACATTCCTGGCAACTTGGATTCTCTATGATGAACCCTGGGCTTGCAATTTGACAGTCTTAAAAGACAAACAAACAAAGCTTTTTTCCAGATTGCAAATGCAGGACATGGGATGCTCAATCTGACCTTGTGAGCATGGTTGAGTGTTCCTGGAAGACCATGAAGCCTTCTTCAGAAACTGTCAGATCTGCAAGGAACCTCAATAGCCCCAGCATTCTATTCCTTTATTTTACAAGAGAGAAAACTGGGGTCCAGAGGGATGAAGTAACTTGACCCAGGTTACTTGGCAAATATGTTCTTGAGCCAGGACTAGGACCTAGATCTCTTGGCTTCTAGATCTAAATATGATGTCACTCCTTCAGCTGGAAGAGAAGGCTGTTAGGGACTCAGAACATATAGAAGAAAATCACATTTAAGGATATTTAAGTAATATATAGACTTGTATTATTTGAGAAATATCTTTAGAAATCAGGATTGTTGGACCTAAAAATAAAATATGTTTATTACCAGTTTCCAGTAATATAAAAGGCTCTTATAAGAACATGGCAACTATCTCTGTGAGCACAAAATGAAAAGTTACACTTAAAGAAAAATATGTTAGTAAGAGTCATTGAATGTTAAAAAGTGTCACCAAGGAAGGAGAGAAATTCCTTAAAACAGGGATCTGTGAAACTTGTGTTGTTCCCATCTAGAAAGATGGTGTCCAGGTAGACGGCAGAAAGGCGGGCAATAGACATTTACCAATTTACCACTTAGAGGTGCTGTTATATAATAGTGGGTCCAGGTTGTCGGTACAAGAGGAAACAGAAGTATCTAACTTCAGGGGAAATAAAACAGGACCTAGGTGTAGGGAGCATAAATAAAGCAACATTTTTAGATGTTCTTTTATAATTTAGTTAATGTTTTTACAGACAGGGAAAAATCATACTTTTAAATCCCCTACTTAGCAAATGCTAGAGCTTAGGATTTTCAAGATGTGAGAAAAGAGTTTAGGAATTTTGCATGACTAAATGCTGTGATCTGTCCAGCAAGAAAAGCACCTCAAATTATGAGTTTAGATGAGACCATTTTTAAAATTTGTTTTCTGTTAGTTTTCTACTGGCCAACTGTTGCCCCATTGTATTCCGACCATTTTATAAATGTAAATTCACTAATTGTTTATCGTGATTGTTTGAGTCTGTATTTCAGGGTATTTCCACACTATGCTGGCTAAGCATTTAACAGAGGAAATTAAGAATAGGGAAACCTATCAGTTGTTCCAGTGCTTTCATAGGGAAACACCCATTAATGTCAAATTGGCACACTCTGTGTGTGAATAATGGTCTTCTTTATTGCAATGTTCCAGACACAGTGGTGGTTCAGCTCAATTACTGTTGCAGGGAATCTTTAATTAAACAAAGGGAAAAAGCTGCTAGTCCCACTAGAGATGGTTATATCTGCAGTGGCACAAGAGAATCTAACAGTCTCTTTAACCAGATGGGAAGAGTAGTGGTTGGGAAAGGCAGGGACTATTGTGGTCTTTCATTTTAGCAAAAGGTAGTAATTATTAGGAGTGAAGTGACAGGGAGAAAAGTAATTTCAAAAATAATATAATTTGTAGTTTTTATGCCAGAAATTGTGTGGCAGGAAAGAGATTTTTAACAGGAACCTCAAGGCCTAGGTTCTATGCTATTAAATCATTGTGTCTGGAACAAAGTAATTGCAAAATAAATATCTGTTAAATAAATTGCCCTTTGAGCTTGGGCGAGTTGCTGACTTCATCTGAAAAATGAGAGTGTGGGATCATTACTGATTCTCAGACCTGGCTCTAATCATTCAAGTCACTTGGGAACCTTTGAAAAAATACAGATTCAGTAGGACTGGGTGGGGCTCATCAATTGTATTTTTTGAAAGTTTCCTGGGTGCTTCTGATACTCGACTAGGTTGGAAACCCCTGAACTAATTGAGATGACCACTAAAATTCCTCCCTAAGCAAAAGTCATAGGATTATGAGGATAGGAGATTGTGGGCACCTAGAGATAATAGTTGGATGCTAGGGATTGAAAATACCCTTGCTCCAGCCCTCCAGCC